TGGGAGCTCTTTTTTTCGAGCCAATTATAATGTAATCCAAATGTGTTAGAAAAAAACTAGAAATTAATAAAGTAAGCAAGACCTGCTATTGTTTAATAAAAAATATTATCATTATATATAAACAGTCAATTATAAAAAACACATAGTTGATTAAAATGTTTTAAATATAACCATTGTTTTTTTGGATGTAATAAAACTTAGAGTATCGCACAAAAACATTAAACAGTTGACGGTCCATGTGACGGTAAATGACAGTTGTCTATATACATGAACAACACCTGTAAGGGAAGTTATCTCCGAACTTCTCACATTTACAGAGTGACTAGTAGTATACAAGTAAATAACGTAGAATAACAGATAAACCTAAATGTATTTCTGAACAAAATAAAATAATATAAAAACATATTTATTACTATGATATAGATTATATCGTAGTAATAAATATATAATATATCATAGAAATAAATATTGAATATAAGTACAGATAATTTACATGAAGGCAGACAAGATGACAATACAGAGTGTATTTCTTTTCAAATATTCAAACATACTTCGTCTACCATACCAGACAGTCTAATCTATTGCACACCTCGTTTTAACAACACCACTAATATTACACTATCTCCTTCTATACTAAATAATTAACTTAATCATTCTCATTCTGTGAATTCACTATCAAATCAATACCACCATCTTCCATATGTAGCAATCACTAACAATTTTTTAGGACGTTGTAAAATCACACTATCTCACTTAATTTTTTTTTTCTGCTGTTTTTACTTTTTCGAATTATCTCTATCTTAATTATCTTAATCTTAATTACATAGTGAGTAGTATATTTTTTTATTTACGTTATATCATTGTAGATTACGTATATATTTATAATATGCGTATATATTTGATATATTACTATTATTATTATTTCTTTCATTCCACTCATGCGCCTTCTACTTTTCTCATATATCCAAAGGTCGTCAATATATGTCGCATTTCTAATAATAGCATATATTTAATTAAATTGATAGCTTATACATATATATGTACACACGTACATATACACACGTATATATACATACACACAGTTACACCAATATAATAAAACAATTAAAAACCAATATACTGTTAAAAGGATACCCTTTAGTATATTGCTGTAGCCGAAACTACAGTGATGATTTTCAGCGTAGGCCTTGAAGTCAACAATAATTTCAGCGAAATATTATAAAAAACCGGTAAATACTGACGCAAAATAAAAGAAAATTACTTTTTAACTTCATAATATTTTTCACCTAATAGAAAATATTTCAATATAAAAAGTCTTGACATGAAACCAGCGAAGTTATTACAATGTAAAAAGTGTATTAAAACCTGGCTACAAAAGTTCACTTACGATGAAACAGAAAATGTTATACGTTAAATACTATACAAAATATACCTACATAAAATATTATAAAAAAATTGGATTGTGTGATAATCGGCAAATAATGTTTTTTTGTCTTTTTTTTGTTGTTTATGTAATACAAATGTTAATAAATGAAAATAATGCATCCTTGGAAGGTATGTGACACCTGAGATACAGTATAATTCTATACTAGTTTAGGTGACACAATTATACCTATATGATTAAATGTATTTTCACACCTTAACTATGTGAAATAACCTAAGATTGCAATAAAATTACTATTATTATTAACCATTTACTCATCCCAGCTTCGCACGAGTGTACATGTATTATACATATAAATCTTCCTCTTGAATCACTCTATCTATTAAAAAACCGCTTCATAATCTGTTGAGTTTTAAAGATTTAAGCATACATTAGTACGGACAGACAGCTACAGCGACTTTGTTAAAACAAAGTCGCTGTCGCTGTCTGTCCGTTGTCCTTTGTTCTATATATTATATCATTACATAGGTAATGATAGGCAGCTACTAAAACAGGCAAATGTCTGATACATACGTTTGTGAAATTTATTGCGGTCGCAGTTAGGTATATTAGAACAAGTGCTCACTCTCCAAACAGCTCGTACCACGAAATGTGATTTAAATAATGGCCACTTAGTAATCGGCCATAAACGGTTTGTTCACCCCAAAAGTTGACGAAAGTTTAAGCGACACCCATACTTTATGGCGGTATTTACTCGTTAAAATTCAGTTTAGAAAGCCCGAGATGCGATTAAATCTTAACTTAACTGAATTGTTACCGCCCCGTTCATATTTTAAAGACTAAATGCACTGAATATATTTAATAAAATCCTAAACAGTATAATAAAAGTATATTAGAATATAATCCAGTCAGTGTAGCGATTTAATAGTCTGCGCTGCCTCTCAATGATAGCAGGTTCAATGTCCGCCCAATATATATCATATTTTTTTTGTACATACATACATAATATATATAACAAACAATTGTACTCATGACTATAAATATTTGCACCTTTGCGAGGAATCGAACCTGCGAGCATCGGATGTAAGACTAAACCGCTAATCACCGAGGCAGGCACAATGTCTTCTTCGAGTATCAAGAAATATTAAACGTTATTAAAAACTCAATACTTAGCTACGCTAGTAATAAATGCGTATTCTATACGCCCCGCCTAACTTTTTGTTTTGTTTGAAAGTCAGTTTAATACCGTCTAGCCTCAATAGCTGTATTTGAAAGGCATAGTTTCTAAAGTATACCGCAATAGAAACATTTCCCAAAGATTGATCGCTGTTGTCTGGTTTGGGAATGTAGGAATTAGCTTTTCGCAGTTATGATGAATTGTTCCCGGCCTTGATTGAACGTTATTTATTGAAAATGTATTGTGGACTTATACAACAATATTGACAATATTTTACAGATACATTCACATATGAAATATTTTTGCGAAGTTTAGCTATATAGCTACATTTCGCTGGATATATTTGGATGCAATATGATTGAAGACGAACCGGAATTACGACGGCGTGAGCCGAGGTTCCATCCGATATAGATGCCCGCAGATTAAAATCATATCCGTCAGGCAAGAATTGATTTTCACTCGCTCCAAAAGTCCTTCCGTTGCTTTGTCGCGTCATTTTCTGGTGAAGCTGTAAAAGCCAGCTATGGCGAATAGCTTTAGAGCGTTAAAAAAATGAATACGAATCTGCCGCCGCGGTATTTTGTATTTTTTAATGGATTTTATGTAATTAAATAAGCCAAAGATTTGTTAAGTATTTTGCGTTATTGTAAATATAATCGAAAATTAAAAAAAATACGTAATTGAGTTCGGTGGTATGGCGTTTAATCATTTATTAAACAACATTTATAAAGATTAGGTGTATGTAATTTGTACCAAACCAAATAGTACACGATATAAGTAATTGCAAAGAATATATTTCTCACGCTATTGTATTAAGTTAAGAACTGTAAAAATAGTTGTAAGTAGTAGAAACACATAAATAAACAAGTTAATGTTTACTATTATAGTATAATAACGTATAACAAGGTCGAAGTGTCTATAAAATGTGTTATTAATAATTATGATTATTTTTTAAAACAGTGATACATTATCCTAAGTAATTAAAAATAACTTTATTCGTACTTAAAAGATAGATTATACTTCAATTTAAGGTATAGAAATAAGATATATTTACATTACCAAGCATGAAAACTTTAGACACATTTTGTTAATAGACCTAATTATCTTGTTCTTTTGCTCGGTATAATTCAAGTAGATAAATGTACAACACAGTTATGTTGTCGTAGGTAATATCTAATATTATTTTACGATGTTTTAGGTTTACTCGAATAGTGCTTCAAGAATTAAATCGCCTGAGGTTAGTTATCGGGAGTTTGGGGATATTATAAACAACGACCCAGAGACTACAATAACAGATGATAATTGTAATATTTTGACCTCTGTTGTATGGGTGATTTTTAACATTTTATTATTTTTTTAATCGTTAATATTCAAAATTAAAATTTATATTTGCTACTTTTTAAAATAATTCAATATTCTTAATTTTTTTAAAGTTCCCCTTTCGCCAACAATGTCGTAGCTGAAATATTTGAATACAAATTTGATGACGTATCAATATTAGAATCATGTATTCAAATTAACGCAAACATAAGTGTAACTGCCAGGTATATTTTACAAATGTTACATGTTTGTAAAATAACTGACAAGCCCACATTAATCACTCAATATTTATACACAAGTAGAGCAAACACTCGTTTGATCTTTGAACGCTTTGTTTTGCGTCAAAAGCCGAGATTGGACGACAAAGTTCAAATTTTTCTTCAAACTTTGAGCTGGTATTCGTTCATTCTAAATGTTGCGTTTTTGTTAAAATTTGTGTATTTAATGCTATGTCTACAGAAAATGTTGGTATAAAAGTGGTTAAAAAAATCTATTGACGGCATACTTTTTCATTGTTGGATTGGCTAAAATACCAAAAATCTCACTAAATACATTTTGACAGAAAATTGTGTTAATTGTGTATTTGAAGCTAGCAAGCAGCATAGCAATTTTTGAAAAATATCTTTTGATATTTTTCATCATTACATTGACTGAAGTACTAAATATGACAGAAAACTATTTTCTTATAACAATATTTGCTAAAATATCAGCTAAGGAATATAGATATAATTGCAAATAGGCAAGTTGACTGACTGGCTTTTATTCTTCCGGGATGAAATAATGATGCTGATGATGAAGAGTGAGTCATCACTTCCATCGGAAATAAAACGTTATTGTCATTGATTAAACCACCAGCAATTTATTAAACACTATTTGTACAATTACGTATTTGTTATTTTTCCGATTTTATACAAAAAAGAGCAGTAATGAGAAGAAATCTTACAATGCCTTATCTCTATTGAGATCTCTTCCTGTGGGCCATCATATCAACTATATAACTGACTGACATGTAAGCAACATCAAATTTGAACTATTAAAAACGACAAAGGTCATACCATTTTAATTTACAATATTTATTTAGCTATAACAGGATAAGAATAGGCTTCACTGTCTTATCTTCTAGCAGTAACTCAGCAACTCAGGTAGTGTGCAAGGCTTGAGGCAGCATTCTGAAGCCACGCCTTGTCTCTTGCCTCTTATACCATCCAGAGCTCTTATCTTCGGCAATGTCAACCAGGGCCAGTCATGCATATCGATATCGTTGCTTAATCCCTCAAATCCACGTTTTGCGTGATCCTCAAATGGACAAAACATAGCCAAAGCTTCTGATAATTTTCTTCCACAGAAATATCTTGCTGATGTGGTCACCATTGAATTAACTGACGCGAATGATGCAATGATGACAAACGCACAGATAAAAATATTATATACCTTCATGATTTTGTATGTATTACGGTACAGTAAAGAGATCCCTATGGTACAGCAAGTTAACTTTAAATGTGCTTCTGATGGCGGCCGGTCTGATTTTATACTGAAAGTTCCTTATTAATATTCCAATATTTAAATTACGTACGTATTTAGACCTGTTTTCATAATTATTAAGGATATGTGACAATATTCCACATCGCGGGAGCATGTGTTTAAAGCCTACATTGACGATACATCTAAACAAAGTTTATCCAAACAGATTCCACCCATAAATACTGTTTTTTAAATTCCGCTAAAAATCTGATTTATAAAACTGTTTTATTGTTGGATAAGGCATGAAGATATGACCTTGGTCTGCTGTTTAAGGAAATAGTTTTTAAGTAAACTTAGTTCCATATAAATGTAGCAAGATTTTTATATTTTAAAAAATTTTTTTTTTATTTAATGAAACCACATATAAAAAAAAATCATTGACAATTCTGTTAGTACGGTTCCACTCCCTACCTTCCACACTCTTCCAGATTAGAGAACCATGTGTATTGCATTCTCGCATTTTAATTTAATTATATGTGGTTTTCTGCGCTTTTTAGTTGCATCGTCCATGCCAGACTTAAAATCAGATCCCTTATCCATTGATGGTATATAAGTTGGCAGGAAAGACGTCATCCCCTTGTACATAGGAACACATATTATAATCGTATGCTTCCATATTAATGAGCGTGGTAATAATAAACAATAATATGTCATCACGAATTATGTAGGTGGGCATAATAGTTATCGATTACTAAAAAAATATTTTTATAGGTATGATTTTATAGTAATCAAATCGTAATAAAGTGTTTCTTTTACGCAGTGATCATAATTATTATTTAAGGGTACATCCCTTAAACTATAATCTTTATTTGCTGGCAATATCCCACACCTCCTATCGACGTATATATGCGTTATTTGTAACCTCAAGTACAAGTATAAATTTATAATCGGCAATTTAAAAAGCTAAAATCATTATTAATAAAAAAGCTTATTATAAATAGCAAAATTAACATTAGTTGTAAACTTCATATAGAATATTATAAATGCAAAAGTATGTCTGTCTGTCTATTTTTTATCTTTCACGACTGAATGGCTGAACGTTAATGAAAGCTGAAAGATATGAAGATAGCTTGTATTACGAGGATGGACATAGACTATCTTATCTCAAAAAATCAGACGACGACGTAATTATAAGTAACAGCAAGTACTACAAGAATTTAATGAACCAATAACTATCAATATTTAAATCATAATTTAATTAATGCATAATTTATTAATACATAATTTACTGACAGTTTACAATCCCACACGATAGATTAGAAATCATAAAGTGAACATATTCGTGCATTTTCCAAATTCAAACTAAAAATTAAGGATCTGTGTCAAAAATCAGAGTAATATTTTTCTCATTTAAGACTTCTGGACATGACTGTCAACATTTTATATCGATTAAAACTCCCGTATTTATTACATTGTCCGTTTTATAGTACTCGTACATAACATTATTCAATTTATTATACATTGTATACACTCACAACCAATGAATTGGAAAACAGTTTGTGGCAGATTTTAAAGCCTATTTTACGGTGGTTCTGTAAAATATTTGTTTAATGTTTGGAGGGCAGTGACGCTGTTACATTGGAATATATTTATTATACTTTTCATTTTCATATAATAGCAAGCTTTTAAACAACATCGAAATTGCCAATTCGTCTGTTTTTCTTTTGAGAACAGATTCTCACTCTTCTAAGTCTTTAAGATACCTAAATTCTCTGAACATGTATATAGCAATGTACTATTTACCAGGTAAATAGTGATAGAGATTGCAGGACTTAATGATACATAAATTAAATAATGAGATAGATATTAAGTAAGAAAGGATACACAATATAGACTTGCTTATGTTAAACTACGGAATGGATTTTGATGTAGATCTAACAGTAATTTATATAATTTCTTCTTGAAGGTTTTGAATATATACATATTACTGGAACTTAGTAAATTTGTACATGACCCTGAATAGAAAATATTGTATTTCGTATTTAGTAGAATAGTAAAAAAAATATCTTTAAAAATAACTATCGTTTCGTTGGTTTCGTAGAAATGACATGTTTTTTGAGCCTTGTAGTAAACATATATTTGCTACAAGGCTGACAATGTCATGTATATTAGTTACCTTTAGAATTTCCATGTTATTTACTTTTACTGCGGATTCTATCCCTGTATACGTGTAGGAGTATGTACCAGTATGAGAATATCCGAGAATTTCAGATATACTCAGAAAATTCATATCCGATTTTTTAATTACTTTCCCTTCTACGAAGCTATATGTAATATTGGCTGTAAATACAGGCAAGCCAGGGTGACATAGCGAGTATAAAATAAAATTATAATAATAAACGAAGGTGTATACTCTGTGTCCATAAATTGCTCCCTTAAATCATAACACATTCAAAAGAAACTCATTTTGTGTTCTGAATTCAATTAACCTAACCGGTGTTTTTAGACCGGAAACTTATTTATCTTACACAGTAGCTGCGGAGTATTACCTTTATAGAATTTTTCTTTTTTTTCATTCAAATGAAGAACTGGAAAACTTTTAAAAATTCAATATGAAACTGGTAGTCACCCGCGAGTTTGGCTGCATTTCCAATTACTGCTTTTAAGGTCGTTTGTATTTAGTAGAATACGAGTTTTATTATTATTATTCTCTATCTCGCCCCCACTTAGATTATTCAGACTTCTGAAACACAGGTATTTTCTATACCTACCTCCCTTGAAGTCAGGGACTTCATAACTTGTTTGTAAAAATATGTGAAAGAAAAAAATAAATTAAAATTTAAAAAAATGTTTTATTATGTGTATTTATACAAATTACTGAGCACTCATCAGAGCATATTTTTTACACGTCATGAGTACGAAAGGATTTCTTTAAGCTATGTCTTAAACAACCCCGTTTATTATCTAAATCGGGGGGGGGGGGGGGGGGGGG